TTGGTCAGTAAAATATGGTTCTCTTGCAATTTAAAATAGTCTTGTAAAATGGTTAGTGTTAGCAGTTCACAGAGTAGTTGAATTGACTCTGTTCACTGTTAGTGTGGAGATAGTTAGAACAACCTCTTTACTTCCCGTTTATTTGCCTCGGACATTATCTCTGTTCTGTGTGCTTCACTGTGTTGCCAAGAAAATTAGGGTAGAAATCTCATCCATCACAGAAATATTAACTAAGTGCTAGGGCAAATTGGAAGACTTTTAAAAGACAGTCACGTCAGCAGTAAAAGGGTGTAATAATACTGCAGGGTTGTGTAAAAATACTGCAGGGATGAAAATGGAAAATCTGATTTTTTAGTGAACTTTGTGCAGGATGATGTTCATGTATGGTTTGTCAATGCTGTTTCCTCTCACCACTACAAAACATTTCCTGAAATTAAGGAATGATCCATTATGAGGAGTGTCTGGTGGAAAATGGCATGACCAGAGCTATTCACCAGTTCCACTGTATCTGCTCAGCATTACCATTATCATCAAACACAACTTTTCAGTGGAAGAAATTTCTATTTATGCAGCGAGTTTTCTGGAAATCTGAGTTAAAGTTGGAATTATCATGTGGTTTTGATAATTATGAGGTTAAGAGAGAGAGGGGGGCGTGGGAAAAAAAGCCCACAGAAGCTACCGAGAGACTTTAAACAAGTTCAAATACAAAGGAATCAGTAGCTGGACCTAAAAGAGAAAGTAGAAATATTTTTGGGGAAAACCTTTATAACATTTTCGAGATCAATTAGAAGATGAATAAATTAGGATGGAACTATTCAGATATCAAATAAAATTAGAGTAAATTAGACTGAATCAGTGATTTCTTTTTCTCCCTCAGGTCTCCACAGTATTTTCTCCATCTCCCCGGCTCCCTCGCTGTTACCAAGTGGCTATTGCACCTGTCTACTCCGGCTCCACGAAATCAGCCTCTGATTTCCCACAGACGTCTGTGGGATAAAGGTAGCCACTGACACACTGGCAGTATCTAAAAATAGTATTACTAAAACAGAAGACAGTAGTAAGGATTACAGTGAGTCTGTTAATAATTTATTCCCTCCACACTAATTTAGAAATATCTCTATACCACAGACTCTATCATTCAATACAGTGTATCTTTCCTTTAAGTTTCTTATTTTAAAAAGGAAAACGTCCCACAGAAGTAAAAAGATCGCAGGAGTTGATGTCTTTTCTAATAGCTTCCAGCCTAATCGGAATCTACAGTGGTCTGTTCCTGGCATCTTTGTTATGCAAATCCTCTACTGCAGAAAAAAACTCGGGTTTACCGCTGACCTTCATTTTGGCTGGGGTAGCAGTGACATCCAGCGGTTCACAAAGAAAAAGAAATTTGCTTATTTTCTTTCTGCCACAGTGCATCACAGGAAACGCATCAGAATATGGCAGGGATCCCCCTGGCATTCCCTTCTCTTTGTGGATATTCGCAAGTGGCACCAACTGCAGGCAGTTTGACAGCCGTGGGAATCGATAACCCACACGGGGAAACAAAAATGCAGAACAGGAAATAAACAGAAAACCCCCCTCTGAGGTAGACTATCTTTCTAATAACTTTAAAAGGACATCGCAGGTAGGAAACGTAACCCCTATTTTTAAAAGTTCAAGTAAAAAGCACCTTCCTATATTACACCTACCCCATTGACTTCGCAGCATTTTCCTCCTTTTTTTTTTTTTTTTATTAACCCTGGTTTTGTACTGAAAAAAAGATGGAACAGGCTTACAAACAAGGGAAAGTTGACTAAAGAGAAATGACTAAAGGGAACTTTTGTTTCTCAAGCCCAGAATAAACAAACTTTCAATTATTAGAGTTTTCCGTAACCAGCTGAGCGTTGTACTGTGATGTGATATCTGAAGCACTGAGAAGTGATTTAGATTTTGTGAACGTGTTGTGTTAAAAGAAAAAAAAAAAATCAAAACATTAAATGCATATAAGGAACCGGGCCAGCAGAGGTAGCTGTTGGTACAACAAAATCAACAACTATGAAAAAATTTTTCAAGGAACATACTACATTCAAAGAAAACATTTTTAAAAATTGGATAGTTAGACCTTGCAGTCTCCAGCACCGGAAATTCACTTCAAATTCATTTGCTCCTCCTTTACTATTTTGCTGTCATTTTTATTTCTTTGAGACTGCCCATTTCCAATTCCTATTAACTGTTCCTAACTCCTAGGCACCGCATATTTTCTATCCTCTCCCTTTGTATTTTGTCAACATAGAGTTCAGAAAGGATGAGTCAACTCTAAATAATCCCAAGGTTGGCTTAAAAAATCAAACAGATTTATCAAGAATAATTCTTCAGAACATTTTCAAATACCATTTGGACCCTTTATGGCTCCAAATTTTGACTTGATCTCTGAAAGACAGGGTTAGAAAACTTTGAAATGTGGGTAAGCTTACGTAACTTTCGAATCAAGTACACTGCCCAGCTAGCTGTTTACAGGAAATATCACTGTTAACAGTAGGAAAAACACACTTTCCCAGATTTATGTCTGACGTGGTTATCATATATACGCCTTTGCCTAAGCTGACAGGGCAGAGAACTTCCAGTCTCCATGAGTATTTTAATAAACGCCCTCAAAAGGACTTCACAGGTCTTTCTAAAAATGTTTCTACGCTAAAGGAACATTTCCTAATGTTGTAGCAAAAGTGATTTGTATGTTTAACAGCCATTATGCTTCAGCTAAGCATTCTAAATGCTGGACATGATGGCTTCCTCTTTCTGTTTCCAAGATCACAAACCACAGTCCCTTTGGGTGGGCTAACAGCAGGGCTGCAACCCTGTGGCATGCTTGTCATCATCTAGGATTTCCTGCAGTCTCACTGAAAGAACCGGTGGCCAGCTCTGCCAGAGTGGGGAGAATTCAATTGCACATACACAAAATTCTAAGTAGATGCTCTCTAGATTTACCAGGTTCTAAAGGGACTTGACTTTATCTTAAATTTCTTGGAATTTATCTGGCTTCCGTCCCATTCTCCAAGCACTGTTTACGCCTTCCACATTTCATGTTTATCAGAAATGCATAAACAGTCCTTGGAACAAGGCCTGAAATCCAGGTCTAAGATCAGTACTTTCTTTGCCTGGCTCTGTGCAAGATCCATTCTCTGCAAATGGCAAAGCTTTCCAGTTCCCACTGGAAAGAAAACTCAAAACTCTATAGCAGCCGTGATCCAGAACTCTCCTCCTGTTGTACTTAAGATCTTTGTTCTTAGTAGCATCTTGCAACTGTAAGAAACAGTAGCTCACACCCATTTTTTTTAGCATCTCTTTTGTGATTCTTACAACTTGCACTCCAAAGTAACAATACGCCTACTGCAGATAAGTGGACACTTACACAACGCTTTGAACTTTGCAGGTTTGTAGAGGAAGAGTTTTAGGTGCCTTGTGTCAGGGAAGCATTCATGATACAAGTACTTTCTTTCTAGTGGTAAAACACAGGACAAAAAGCACTCAGGCACAATTCTTTATTTCATGGAGCAAACTCTTGGCAGTTGTCTGGCTGCTCTGGATGCCATTCAGAAGAGCCCACCTCCAGGCAGTCACTTTGTCTTTGAGCACCCAACAGCTTTTTGACACCCTCTTACAGGCATACTTACCCAGGCAGCTCAGAACACAGACAGAGACGATACACAGTTCTCTGCACCTGTCCATGACTCCTAGGAGAGCCTTTATAGAGAAAGCCTTTATCATGTAGCCAATTTGCTGTAGACTCTGCTGTTCTTCTCTCCAAACTCCTGTTCCTTCCTCCATCCCCCAAAACAGTCAAACACAAATTTCAGCTGATAGTAGCATACATAAGTCCCATTTCCATTTAGTTTTCAAATGAAACATCTTGGTGAATATAGGAATCACTAAAAATCCTTACTGCTACTGTTGTTTCAGGGAACTGTGAAGGAGAGACTCTGAAGAGCACATAAGTATTTTTAGTTAGAATTAGTTCTGCCTGGACATAAATCTGAAAAAAAAAAAAAAATGAAGTCAGGATTTCATCCATAATGATGCAATTTTAAAGCCTGCATAACTGATTTAACACAGACCAAGGCCAGGCCTCAGCGTTTGCAAAGTTTTAGAGTTTTTGGCATTTAGGTTTCATAGAGCAAGCATCACGTATGACCTTTTTTTTTGCACGCAGCTCAACAATACAGATGGATAGGCACTGGCACACAGAGCAAAAATTGGCATATTACCAAACTTTCAGAAGTGCAAAGTATCCCTGACCTCAGTACCAACAGTACATGAAGGTTTCATTAATTTTAAGGTCAGAAGAAAGCAGAATGACAATTCAGCCTGGTCTGCTGCCAGGACAAAAGGATCCTTCCCTTTACTACTTCTGCTAGCTTAGTATGTTCTAGCCCATACATTTTTCCAAAGTCACCTAGCCTTTTATATATACCAGCTAATGAAGGACATGCAACACTTGATAATCCTCTCAAAGTGTAATGTTAAAATTTTGTTTAGACTTTGAAACATCAGCACATTTGGAAAATTCATGCTGTCCTGTTCATACTTCAGTCTAGGTACATATATTTGGCTATGTATGGTACTGGCTCTCGTGGATCATATTGTGCAACACTACATCTATTTTTAGAAGTAACAGCCCAGCCATTCTACTGCAGAACTCAAGCCAGGATGGAAACTCTACCTCATCTACTCTCAGATATTGTTCCCTTTTTTTTTTTTAGGATCTTAAACACAAGAAGGAACTTGCCATCATGCCACAGTTACCTTCCGAAGTGAACATCAGATGTCTTCAATCTTCCTTGCAGCGAATCGTACAAAGAGCTGGAAGATCTAGAGCAAGCAGTTCACTTACAAGAAACTTAGTGGGTAGACACAGTGGCATGTCTTGAATGCAGAATCTCAGAATAATGTAGACTGACAAGATTTAGTCTTCTAGAAACACAGATGTGTTAACATGTTAATGAAAAAGCAAAAGGCGAAGGCATTTAATTTACATGAAGTTTTATTATCCTTCAACATCACCTGATACTCCGTTACCTCAGCCTTAGCAGAGTTTTGCCCCCCTAGGTAGACAAGTTTTCAACTGACTGTCTCTGACTGAAAACATCTAGGCTAGGTCAGATTTTAGACCCAGCCTTTCATTAATACAGTCAGACACAAAAGAGCAGCTGAAATCCTGACCACCTGAAAGGCTGCAAAGCAACAAAAAAAAGGTCCAGGAGGATTTTCATAATTTTCTGTGTTTGAATAGAGAATCTTTCCTCTGCGTTGATCACTAAATAGTTAAGAAGCAATTAAACTGCACATTCAAGAAACAGATGCGTTCTACATTTCAAGCTGTGATCAGAAACTTGTGCAATTATTTTTCCGCTTATGAAGTCTGTGGTTTTATCTTCTCAGCGGCTTCAAGGACAGATGGAAGGCTGACTTTGTCTCCAAATTCTTTCTCACGATGCTCCAGTAAAACACCCTAGTCAAAGACACAAAATAAAAATTCATACATCAGTCTCTCCACAGGAGATCAAGTGGCCAGCAACTGAACAATTCCAGAAAAGAAACTTTCAGTCTCACAGGAGACAAAAGCCTCCCAGATGTCCTGCAGTACCTGTCTTCCTGCCCCAATGACATACACTCCTCCCAGGGTGAATCCTTCTCCTTCCAGGTTACCACTGTATCCACTTTTCCAAGCACGGAAGAAATTTTGCCAGACTCCAAAGCGGAAGAAGCCTGAAAACATCATTTTTCGTCTGCGTGGACCACAGAAGCCTTTCTGGATGGAAACAGAAAATACCTCAGCAAACAAAGTGAAAGGGACTTTTCCTCCCAAATGAAATTCAGGAAACCAGCCAAACCCTGTATCCAAGAAGGGTCGCAACACATAAAAGCTAACCAGGCATAGCTAAAAAGAAATTGCACCTGAAATAACCTCTTTAATGCACTACCTGACCACTTACCTCCACTCAGCCAACTAGTGGTACTGCCACCACATGTGTGGTGATTTTAAGCTGATCCACAGGTATTTAAGCCCCATATACATCTACATCCCTATTGCTGACAACAAGGGTGCTTTGTGATAAACATCTTTTTTCTTACTTCTTAAGTATGGCAATAAAAATGCTAGTAAAGAGATAACAGTGGTGCCAAGTCCTGAAACTTTATCAGCCATCTGTTTTGGGGTTGTTTTGGAGTTTGTTTGGGTTTTTTTGGTTTTGTGTGTTTTTTGTTTTTTTTTTTAAATCACCCTGATTCTTTCACACAGGCAGAGTGGGGCGGGAAAATAAAGGTACCTTCTCGTTGATTTTGAGTATTACGTATTCTTTTTCCTTCAGAAGCCAAATGATTTCTAAATGCATCTTCTGGGTTAAGGAGTAAGCAGGGCCGTGGTTTTGTAGGACATGAAACTGGCAATACAGCATGTGCCAGTGTACTGGGACAAGCCACATCACTGCAATTTGGCCTGTACATCAAGAATTAATTACGTCTGTCACCTTCAGACCTTGATTCATACATCATAAACATCAGCAAGTCACACAGCCCATGGAAGAAAGGAATAAATACCGATAAGCCATATTGTGTACCTGTTAAAGGGGAGAGGAGGAATAAACCTGCAGCAGCACGTTATCAGTGCATAGCTACAAAGCAGTTTGTAAGCTGAGCAGGATATACATATATAGAAAAGCAAAGCTAATTAACTTCTTAAACTACAATGCTACTAAATCCTTTTTGATTCAGACCACATTCTATCTATATTATTTATACAAGCTCTTCAAAGAGGACATTCATAAGCTTGTTTTTAAACAAAAGGAGAACACCAACTTCACTATACCTTTTCATCCAGAAAGATTTCTCCTTTGAAATAATGCTGAAAATCCTCCACTTCAGTCCCTATGTTCTCTTTCACAACAGCATAGAGAGGGACACCCAGCTCGGACAGCTGAGGTTTCAGAGAGGAGAGCTCAGAAGCCTCCTAAGAAAGGAAAGAAACCCCAAATATTTCAGGCAGTAAATGGAGGTTGGAAAGTTTCACCTTGAATTTCAAGAGCATCAGAAACATACATAAATTCTAGCTTCAGGCACAAAACAGAAACAGACCTGTAAATCAGACATTTAAGCTAGCTCTACTCCTAGGCGGGTCTTCATTAGATTTACTAAAATTTTCTTCATTAAGCAAGGAGGAAGGAGATTTTTTGAGCATTTACTGGATAAAATATTAAAATCCTGGAGAAAACGTACTTTTAACTCAAAGCTGTAGACATACCTTGCCTGTGGAAGGGCTTCAACCATCTTTTAAAGTGTTCACAGAACAGTAAAAAGATACTGCCTGCACATCACTTAACTTTCCCAGACTAGAATTTCCAATCCTTTTTTATAAGTAGAAATGCATCATTATCAGCCCTTTTGCAAACTATTTTGAGGGTTCTGTGCTGGAGCAGGCTATAGAAATCCAGTATAAGTAATGGAGTGAAGATGCACTCTCCTTCCTAGATCCCCTGGTGAAAATAATCAGGGAATTTCTTCATACACCTTCAGTAATTCCAGAAGCAATACTACTTTTTCTGGTGTGTAAGAGAGTAGGGTATCACCACTCATCTGCTGGGTTTTTTGTTCTGCTGGAGGAATCCCAGCTCCCACAGTTTGTACAAAGACCTCTGATGTTTTACAACAGATCAGAGTGCACACTGAATATATGTTTCTTCTCATCTCCAATGGAGAAAGGTCATTTTTACTGGACAGAACTCCCAGAAATAACTCCATGCTTTAAAAAATGGACACAGTTTACGCAAACACCCTCAGCCACGTGACCAAAATGCCTTAACTCAAAGGCTTGCAGGACACCTAGAATTCATCGAGTAGCAAGTAACAGACAGATAGGGGTGAACACACAGGAGAAAAGACATTAGAGAAAGACATCAGTAGGTGAAAGGGTAAGGGCAGCTTTCCAGTTCACTGCTCTCTTTTTCAGAGGAAATGAAAAAGGATGAATCAGCATCACAAGCAAACACTCAGTAGTGAGCCGTGAGAGTTAAAGCATCATAGCTTACGCTTGTTAGATCTTCCCCCTCTTTTCTGTTCTTAAAGACCTGGTAATTATTTTCTGTTTTCCCTCAGCAAAATGCCTTATGATCTTCCTAAAAGGGAGGTTAATAACAATTTTATCTGGGATTTTTTTATATAGTTCAAAAGTCTCATAACCAACAAAACAAAAAATATTTGTATTCCAACCTAACATGTCCAAGAATTGATGTTCCAGGCTAGTGCGGCGGGGTGCCCTGTAAAAGCCAGAAATCACTGTCTCTGGAGAGAGAGCAATACCATCGAACCTTGATTAGCTTTTTGGAGAAATGCACTTCAGCAGTTTGTTGGTGTTTATTTTGTGTCTCCTTGCTTGGCTTTTGGAAGGGGAGAGAGCAGGAGTGCTGTAAAAGCATAGTTAAGTTGTCAAATTCTCAAGAGATTAGACTTCAAGCAGCATCTTGGGACTAGACCTGATTATTTTTCATTACTGCTATTTAAAAATGATACAATAAGAGAATGCAAAGAATTGTATTTTTGTGGGCAAATTTTATCACATAACAGCTGCACAGCCTTACCATGAGGCTGTGACCATTTGATCTAGTCTGTGAAACTGTTTTCTTGCTTTTATAAAAAACAAATAAGCACACCCTAGCACTAAGGCACGGACAACCCAAAAAAACAATTCCTGTATCAGTTTGTCCTTCTGATAATTCAACTATGGTTCTTCTACTACCTCAGACTCCCTGAGCTGATACCTACAATATTTAGCAAGCCCATGGCACTTTCACAATGACTGGAGCACTGGATCACCACATGGCCGGATCCAGACTATGTGATGTAGAAGTGCAGTCCTGTTAAACATAGTCTACCTTAAATAACTAAAAAGGAATCCGATGATTTAGGATGCAGATGATAAAGATAAAAGACTCCATATCTCTTAAGTCTACAGGCCTCAATTCTCAAGGATCCAAAGGCATCATTCCAGTAGGATTTGTGACATCCTTTGCAGTGGATAATGGAAGCACGTCCTCACCACTGATATCAGTGATCTATGAGGTAGACTGGCCACTTTTCAATGCCACCACCATGTCCAGGAAGCATACATTCCTTCTTGGTGCTGTCAGCAAGGACAAAGTTCAATGTCCTTTCCAAGGTGTAAGATAGTGGGAACCAAATGTATTTTGTCTCTTGCAAAAAAATAAAAATCTACTGCCTGCAGGTTAACAGATATGGCAAGACACCTGTATTGAACCATTCCACCAGCTCAGAGTCAGGAACAGTGGAGAAAGAAGCAGCTTTCATGCTATGGAGAAACATTAATGGACAAAAAAAAAAAGGGCAACTGAACTGTTCTTAGGAGAAATGCAAGATTCAACTCACAAAAATGCTTTGAGTATACAACAATCAAAAATAACTTCAATTTAGACAATTTAAAAGCTTTTTGAAACATTTTCACAGTTAAAATACAAACAATTCTTTGCCTTAATTAGCTGATCAGTAGTGTGACTGCCTCTGGTAAAAATTTGAGGTTTTGAACCAAAAATAAGAATTAGAAAATTAAATTGGTCTCTCCTCAATTTTTTCCTGAAAGAAAAAAACCACGATTCTTTGAATTGGGCTCTTTATTTCTACTTAGGAAGTTAGCATTAAAAAAAAAATTAATGAATTCCTGTCTGACTGTATGCGAAAGGCACAGGGTCAGGCATGTATCACATTCTCCTCCTGCCTACGCTACACCTGTTCAGAGAGCAAAGTACTTTAATCTCTAACCTTCCATGAATTCTACACATTCTTAAGCAGTTACTAGTGATGGGAACAGATCCCTTAATTAAGTGGTTGCAATATTAATTACTCCATGTTATAGAGTAGCAAGTAACAACATAATAGCTATTTTTCCCCATAGCTATGGCCAAGGTGCAAGTTATGGCTGTTTCCAGGCACAGAGCACATTCGAATCATATTTTAAGTGTCTCCTCCCACCTCCACGCAAGGAGCCTAATGTCAACTGAACTATCAAATTTTGTTTTCCAGCCCACCTTTTTAGGGAACAGTAACTCCTTGTCTTCAGACTTCTTACCTTCCTGCCTCACATTCAGCATCCTGAACAGCAAGGGACTCCCCTTTATGCACATCTCTTTTGCTGATGAGCTTTATCTGATGGCTTTCTGCCAGTCCAGTCTCGGGCTGGTTTTGACCAGAGACTACCTGGTTCACAGAGATTTATTTTGGACTTATGGAATACAACTAGCTCATAAGACTCGTTACCAATTGGATTTTGTGCAATCTCCCTTTCTCATTATCATGGGCTGGGTCCCTGGCAAATGTAAAAATCATGTAACCATTGCTTTCAGAAGGAAAATGCTCAGGACCTGCCTACACAAACCAGCTGCAAAGAAAACGAAGTATGCTGTTAGTTGGCGACCAGTTTGGGCTAGGAAACAAGACCTTTCAGATACTTCACATGTATTTGATGACTGTCCTATTTACCCTCTCCGTCTATTTAAAGGGAATCTATGCAAGTAGAGCTCAACTCTTCTTAATTAATCCCCAAACCCAGCAAGTACCTCTCTGCACAAAAATCATCCAGGTCTTCGCACAGCCATGATCACTGCACCATTCTTCTTCCATAGTTCACCTGCTTTGAATGTTCTTTGTTCTGTTTATACAGGAGAAACAGCATCAGCAATAACGTCAGCCATTCTTGTTTATAATGATCAATGCTTTAAGGACCAACACAAAGCACTACAAAGAATTCCACATTCAAATACAGTTCTATCAGAAAAAAATTCTATATGCCTAACAGGGTATTACTGCTTTATCGAGTTTCAGAAGTGTGCCATGTTTCATCCAGAAACAACAGTTTTGCTTGCTTTTCCTTCACCAGAATTAGAAACTATCAAGGACACCCAACTACATGTTATAACCAGGAAAGACTAAGAAAAACTCTTCCAACCCTGGCCTTACAAAGGTTCTTATAAAAGCTCGATTATTGAAGAATGTGAGCTGAAACACCCAGAATCTTACCTGATCCCAAAGTTTTTAGCTCTATCTCCTCTAAAAACTCCAACGTAGCCTTTTCCGGCTTGGATAAAAATAAGTCAGTGTTAGCAAGGATGATCCCAGTCACAGCTGCACCAACGGCTCCAAGACCAACAGACCACATGCCCATGGTGAAGATCCCGAAGTCAGGCAGGAAGGACATTTCTGGAAAGAGAAAGAAGAAAGCAGCTCTAACACTGGACACCAATGATGCCAGACAAGAAGGAACTGGATTAAAACAACAACTAAAAGCTCACGTGGATATTTTTGGTTTGACTGCAGATGATCTGTATATTTATTAATGCACTGAACTGGGTTTTAGATGATCTAGACTACATTCCAGTTCTGCACCTGACCCACATCAAAACTATTAACAAGCTATCCTTACCTTTTCCTGCTACTGGACTGACAAAAACATTCATGATTAAAGCGCTCAGATGCAATGAGGAGAAAAATGATTGAAGTATATGTGCGTAATAAAGAACCTCTAACAAGATGGCCTCTGTGTTAGCCGGTAACTTAAATTATCACAGCAAGACAGTGGTTTCTTTCAAAAAAGAAGTGGTTTTAGATTAAATGTTTTTTCCCCCACTAATCTATAGTAAACAGTTAACTTTACAAATAGACCACAGAAGACTTTATTAAAAAAAAAAAAAAAAAATCTGTATCTGGTTCACCATAACCGGTAACCTTTCTTGTTCCTTACAGTTCCACACTAGAACCAAAGCAGGCACCAAGCCAGAATCAGAGCTCATCAGTCATGCCTGCAGACAGAAATATGTAGACTTGCAACCATTTTACTAGACGCAGTGATCCAGCACCTTCTATAAGCTAACCAATTTTTACTCTTGCTAAAGCAGAGATGACATCAGGAACAAACAACTTAACTCACACCCATCAGTTAGAACTGATAACATTGCAATGGAAGCCATTATATACGCACACTGAGGTCTTAAAGTACAAATGCACCTTGTTGTTACTGGTGACTATAGTTTGGTGGCAATTTTACTTAACCACCATCCATCCACAAACCTCCACAGCTCAATCCTGACCCTTGCACATGTTTCACAAGCCTGGAAAGGGCTGACAGCCACCTTCCAGTGAGGCAGTATCAGTTATGAGGATGCAGGAAAGCACACTCAGCCCTGCCTCATGGATAAAATTGAAAATCTAGCTCTAAGCAATAACTGGTACAAGAGTCATTGGAGTTTTGGCAGTATAAGAAGTCACTATACACTTACATCACAACAGTTATGTGTTACAAAGGGCTGTAGATTTGCAGTCACCCAATTTTAGTATTACACAATAGGGAGAATCAAATTTTTTCCAGAGCCATCTGCAAAACCCTATTCCCTGATAGACTGTTTCAGTAAATATTGCCATCTGTATATACTTTTGTAGGGAAGATGTTTTTTCCTCTTCTAAATATAGGAAAATATTACTGTTTTGAACTGTGACTGGCAATAAACCAGAAACATACATAATCTTTATCCCCATGGCTAGCTGTTGCCTGAATTCAGAAAGTAAGAACTAGGAGTAGCTCCTCGCTTTTGTGCCCAGAATTTTCTGGGAGAAAATCCCTTTCCATCCTTAAAATTAGCTCCAGAATACTACTGACAAACAAATACAACCAACTGCCTAGGTGCAGAAATAGCTAGAAAACATTTTGAAAAAAAAGATCGCGTTGTTCTTTTAACAGCATACTTGGTTCCAAAGAAGACAGTATCGCAGTATCTAGAAACGTGAGTAATCCATGATCCCGAGCAGGAAACAAGGCCAGTTTACACAAACTTAACGCAGATAAGAGAACAGATTCTACCCCATTTCGCCACTTATTTCTAACCAAGGGAAGCCTTCCTTGACCATATCTGCTTTCTCTATATACTTTTTTCAAACTTAAAGTCATACTGTAATGACAATTTTTTGATATCTGTCTCCAACTAGTATCAGAGACCATCCTGACCCCAGGCCTTTGGAATGACCAAATTGTAACTCAAAACATATTGCTGTAATGCAGCAATATCCTTGTGTTAAGACTTAAAATCTCAATGGCATACCCAAAAGGCTATAGCCCTGTTCCCTCCTAGAGTTTGATTATCCAACTATTCTTTAGACTTGAATCTGGGCTGGTCAAAACCTGTTTTTCTCTTAATTCTTAGTTACAAGAGGAGAGGGGAGGTAAAAACCCAAGTATTAACCCCTTCTGCGTATCATTTGTGTACAAAAATGTTGCCAAATTTGTGGCAGCTGATTAATGAGTAGTTCTCACATAGCTTTTTATTTTTATTAGCATTATTATTATTGTTAGCATTATTAGCATCGCTAAAAGCCAGTTTCCACTCAGCTGTAGTTGTAAGAGAAGAGAACATTAAGCTTAGTCAACACACCTCTTCAGTTTAGTTGGACTCTTTGGTCTCCACTAGGTCACAACCCCCCCC